GCATGCTCAATTCCACAGGGTAAGGAAAGCACTGAGCATGTGGAAAGCCCACCCTAAGGGACGAATCATGGGGAAAAGGCCAGCCTATAAAGTCCAAGGATCAAGGTTAAAGGGCCTTTCTGCTCTCTGCTTTTGCTCTCTTTTCTCTCTTGTACCTTCAGGTGCCTGCTTGGGTCTCTTTCAAGCAAATTTTCCTTTCTTTTCTGTTCTAAAGCGTTTTAAATAAACTTCCACTTCTGCTCTGAAACTTGCTTCAGTCTCTTTTTCTGTTTTATGCCCCTCAGTTGAATTCTTTCTTCTGAAGAGGTAAGGACTGAAGTTACTGTTGACCCGTACAGATTCACCACCAGTAACACGGGGTAACTCAAATGTCTTTCAACGCTAACAACCTGAGACAATTTGATAGCTGATTGCTTCCTCTGCCCTATTGTTTATGGAAAAAATGCAGATTCACCAAACCAGACTAAGGCATAGGTGACTGTTCCTCTAGAATTCAGTCAACTGAGAAGAAAAACACCTTTTCTCCAAAAACAACAAAGTCCTAGAAAGAAAAAAAATAAAGGCCATTTTCTTCTCAGTTGACTGAATTCTGTTTTCTCTATTTTTCTTCCTTTCTCTCCTTCCTTTTGCTCTCCCCTCTGCTGCTTGAGGGATCTAAAATGATTTCTAACAGCCTGAGATTCCTTAAAGAAAACAGAGAAGATGCCAGACTCCATTTTCAGGAGAAACCTCTGTTTTTCCTTATGAAACAGATGTCTTGAGGAGAAACCCCAAGATATCTGACCTCTTCCTGGTGCTGCTGAATTATCATTTTTAGAGAGGCAAGGTAATAATTCCTGAGCCATCACCCGACATTTCTAGTGGGTGGGCAAATGAAATGAACAGACACTTCTCAAAAGAAGACATTTATGCTGCCAATAAACATATATAAAAAAAAGCTCAACAACACTGATCATTAGAGAAATGTAAATCAAAACCACAGTGAGATGCCATCTCATGCCAGTCAGAAGGGCAATTATTAAAAAATCAAGAAACAACAGAGGTTGGCAAGGCTGCAGAGAAATAGGAAGGCTTTTTCAGTGTTGATGGGAATGTAAATTAGCATTGGGAAAGACAATGTGGTGATTATTCTAAGACCTAGAATCAGAAATACCATTTGACCCAGCAATCCCATTACTGGGTATATACCCAGAGAAATAGAAATCATTTTATTATGAAGATACATGCACATGTATTTCACTGCAGCACTGTTCACAATTGCAAAGACGTGGAATCAACCCAACTGCCCATCAGTGATAGACTGGATAAAAAAATGTGGTGCATGTACACCATGGAGTACTATGCAGCCATAAAAAGGAATACTATCCTGAGCAAACTAATGCAGCAACAGAAAACCAAATACTGCATATTCTCATTTATAAATGGGAGCTAAATGATGAGAACGGAAGGAGACCTGGAGGGAAACAACACACACTGGGGCCTACTGAAAGGTGGGAGGAGGGAGAGGATAATGAAAAATAACTAATAAGTACTAGGCTTAATACACGGGTGATGAAACAATCTGTACAACAAACCCTCATGACGCAAGTTCGCCTATGTAACAAATCAGCACCTGTGCCCTCAAACTTAAAATGAAAGTTAAATAAGAAAATTTAAAAAAGAGAAGTGTTCTTTGTGGGATTAATTTTAGAGGATCTCTCTCTTTGAAAACCTAGACTGCAGGTAAATTATCATGTACAGCAATGTTTTGCTTATCTTTTCTGCCTCATACCACTATCCTGCCTTAATTTCTGGCACCTGGAATTAGAGACACATTTAAAAATGGCGTATATGACTCTTGAAGATGCTATCCACTTCTGGGAAACGTATTCACTTTATTTTGCTTCTTCCAGGAAATATGAGCATGGAAAAAAGAATATTCTCTGCCAGTGTGTGTCAGACTGATGTGAGGATTGACTGAGGATTTCTGCTGAGCACTCTCTGGCTTTCAGTTTCAGCTGCGGCCAGTGCAGAGAAGGTGTCAGGCCTGGGTTTAATGGTGTTCTGGAGCTTATTCGTACAGACCCACTAGTTCTGGGGCTGCTTAAAGCACTGAGAAATTTACTGTTTTAGAAGGAAAGTGATTAACACTGGAAAATAATTTTTGTTTGAATATCATCCTGTGACAATGGCTATACAGAGGTGCATCCTTCTTGGATTTTCCACACTCCCAACAGGACCTGAGACTTCTGTGCAGCAATAACCACCTTGTCTCTGTGGAAACCACACATTATGTATACTACTTTGCTGACATTTGACAATCACAAGTGGAAATGAAGAAGAAAGGAATTAAAATCAGCAGGCACCACGGCATGGTTTCCTAAGGAAACAGAGCCTTCCTTTACACTGGGAACATATGAGCACAATTAAACTGGTCTTTGATTAAGACCCATGGGAGGAAATTGTGGGGTGACTCTGGTACCTTGTCTGTAGCCATTGCAATCACTTTATAGTATAACTTTGGTGTCCTCAATTAATCACTTTTAACATAAAACTCCATTGAAGGAGACTCATGTTGCTAAAGATTACTCAAAAACAAAGGTTAAGCTGAGGAGAACTTTATGCTTTAAAAAATGGGCTGGGCCTCTTCATTTTCCTATTTTTGTTTTTGTTTTCTTCTATCCTGGAAATTTCACACAAAGACGATAGTGTTGACGAAAAGAGTAAAACTCTGTAAAATATTTGAAAAGATGTATTCTGAGCCAAATATGAGTGACCAATGGTCCATGGAAGCTCTCAGGAGATCCTGAGAATATGTGTCCCGGGTATTTGGGCTACAGCTTGGTTTTATACATTTTAGGAAGACATAAAACATCAATCAATGCATGTAAGATGTACATTGATTCTTTCCAGAAAGGTGAGTCAACTCAAAGTGGGAGCTTCTAGGTAATAGGTAGATTCAAATTTTCTGGTTGGCCATTGGTTGGAGTTACGTTACTGTCTAAAGACTTAAACTCGGTACAAGAGAATGTCTGCATTAGGGTAAGGGGTTGTGGACACCAAGGTTCTCGTTATGCAGAGGAAGCCTCCAGGTAGCCAGCTTCAGAGAGAACAGTTTGTAAATGTTTCTTAGTAGAGTTGATTCTCTACTGGATCAGGAAAAAGGCCTGCACAGAGAGGGGATTCTCTTCAGCATGTACATTTTCACCCACAAGAGACAGCTTTGCAGGACTACTTCAAAATATGGCAAAGAAATATATAGGGTAAAATACTTGTGATTTCTTTCAGGGCCTGCTGTCATGTGATGCTATACTAGAATCAGGCTGGAAATTGGTGTCTTCTTGCTACAGAGTCTGTTAGTCTTTTTTTTTTTTTTTTTTTTTTTTGAGATGGAGTTTCACTCTTGTTACCCAGGCTGGAGTGCAATGGCGCGATCTCAGCTCACAGCAACCTCCGCCTCCTGGGTTCAGGCAATTCTCCTGCCTCAGCCTCCTGAGTAGCTGGGATTACAGGCACGCGCCACCATGCCCAGCTAATCTGTTAGTCTTAAGTTCTGTTCCAATGTTATTACTGGTCAGTTGTACATAAATTCCAAAAGGCAGCAGGAAATAATAAGGCATGTCTGACCCCTACTTCCTATCATGACATGAACTATTTTTTCAGGTTAACTTTGGAATGCCCTTGGCTGAGAGGAAGGATCCATTCAGATAGGTGGGGGGCTTCAAATTTTATTTTTGGTTTACAATAGCATGAGCAAAGCAGAGGTCCGACTGCTTCGTTCCAGTAAGTGGTTATTCTGAAACATTGCTCAGGGCATCATCTTCTTACTCTTCTTTGAGCAGCACTAAATGAAAAGGTCCCCTTTCACCTTGTAATCTGCAGGAAGTGGGGTTCTCTCTAGGATGTTAAAGGTGACAAAATACATTTGATGGATTGCTCAGCTGCTTATGAGCTGAAGGAGGTATAACAATATACTTCTTGGGCTGGGGGGAGGGGATAAAAGGGAGAAGAACCTCTCTTTGGCCTTAATGAAATTTTTGCTTGTGTTTCTTTTGAAGCAGGACCTTTGGGGGCAGAATGGCTGCTATTCCCCTGTGTCCTCCACAAAAACGGAGGGCAGTGAACAGAAATTTGGAGCATAGTGGATCATTGTTCAGCTGCTACCTTCATATAAATCCTGCCTAGGAAGTTTCTCTTTAGAGTCCACAATTTGGACATAACTAGTCAGCATAAATGGAACTCACCTCTACCTGGGAATACACTGTTGTCTCACCAGGAATCTGCTTCACCCCTTCTTGCACGTATTTTTGGTCCTTAAAGGGGCAAGGCGGTGAAGAGGATGGCATAATGGCAGGGGTAGGGAGGGGGAGTGGAGAATGTATAGGTCAGTGCAAACTCACAACAATACTTAGTAAACTTCTGTGATGTATAGGGCCTATTGCTGATGGCAACTCACGGATGTCATTTCATGAAAGGAGCCCTCCTTGTCATTTTGTTTAAATGACTTTTTTTTTTTTTTTTTTGAGATGGAGTCTCACTCTGTCGCCCTGGGCTGGAGTGCAGTGGCGCAGTCTTGGCTCACTGCAACCTCCGCCTCCCGGGTTCAAGCAATTCTCTGCCTCAGCGTCCCATGTGGCTGGGATTACAGGCACTCACTACCATGCCCAGCGAATTTTTTTTTTTTTTTTGTATTTTTAGTAGAGATGAGGTTTCACTATCTTGACCAGGCTGGTCTTGAACTCCTAACCTTGTGATCCACCCGCCTCAGCCTCTCAAAGTGCTGGGATCACAGGCGTAAGCCACCGTGCCCTGACTTAAATGGCTTTTTAAAAACAATTTGCACCCATACCCTACTAACCACAATCGGCACACAGAAACAAATATATTGAGAATTTGCCTCTTTATTGATATAACTTTAAAGGAGATAAGGGCAGCATGAGTGGCATGGGCAGCCCAGGTGTCAGTGGCACCAGAAAAACCCATCTCCAAACTAGCTCCTGAAGAAGGATGGCATTCTAGGGCTAATCCAAGACGATGCAGAGACTGTCATCTGGATCAGAAGATGGTTCAGGAGGTGGTTCATTGACGAGCATTAATTGCCTCTGTTGTTGTCTATACCTGGCCCTTTTATTCTTAAACCAAATCTACAATTAGAGGGAAAAAAGAGATTGGTTTAGTATATTGAACAGTTCATGTCATAATGGACAAACACAGGATGCAACTTTATATGCTATTGAGATTTTAAACTACATCAGAGAAAGCTATTTCCTCATTGCTAAAATACCTTAGGAAAGTTAATAACACATCCCCTGGCCCTTCAGCTCACCCTTAGTGAGCACCAGCTTTGTGCCAAGCCCCAGAATAAGCTTATTACTTTGTATCTCTCTTCTCCATTTTACTTTATTTTATCTATCTATCTATCTATCTATCTATCTATCTATCTATCTATCTATGTATCTATCTATTTATCGAGACAGGGTCTTGCTCCTGTCTATCTATCTATCTAACTACTGAGACAGGGTCTTGCTCTTTTGCCTGGGCTGGGGTCCAGTGGTGCAATCATAGCTCACTGTGACCTTGAACTCCTGGCCTCAAGAGATCCTCCTACCTCAGCCTCCCACGTAGCTGGGACTACAGGTGCATGCCACTATGCCCAGCTGTTTTTATTTTTCTGTAGAGACGGTCTCACTATGTTGCCCAGGCTGGTCTCGAGTTCCTGGCCTCAAGCAATCTTCCCACTCTGGTCTCCCAAAGTGCTGGGATTACAGGCATGAGCCACTGTGCCCAGCCCCAATTTTAATATTCTTTAAGGGTTACTTCCAGGTATTGGATGCAGTTCTGGCTTATGAGTTGTTTCAGGTTCTTGCTGTTAATTCAATGCCTGGCAACAGGGTAACAAAAGGTCTGCATCTGACAAGTGACCATCAGCTAGCTATCCAGCTGCCTCCTACTCCCTCCACACTAGGGAGAGTTTCAACTTATTTGTGGGAGAGGTTCAGCAGGGTAAAAAGTGGGCCTAATTTCAAGTCGTCTTCAGGGGACTATTTAAAAAATCTGTCTTTAGTATGCGGTAAATAATAGGAAAGAGCACATTGGAATTTTAGACAGATTTCCTTCCAGGATGCCTAAGGGATTATTCGTCCTCTGGCAAGACAGGCCTGGACACTCCTTGATATTTTAGCCTGTAGCATTAAGGAAAGTTGAAACCAACTCGACCCAAATTAACTGAAATTCTCAACAATCTTTGTCCACTTAATAGTTTAGGGGAAAGAGGCATACCATTGTCACCAATGTCAATTCATTCTCCAACCTGTTGCACCCTCCAAACCTTCCTCGGCTCAGGGCAAGCTCAGCTCACTCTGTTTTAGCTACACTTCCAGGATTCTGCACTGGAGGTGCGATAGTCCAGCATGGCGGGACCCCCTAGGCCCTGCTACTCAACCAGGAGGTCTGAATTCCACCCCATATTCCTAAGACAGAAAGGTGGAACCTGCATTTTAGGAACATGGTTAATATCAATGTGGGGGAAGGGTCACAAATATGGCTCCTCCCTAAGTATCTGCCAACAATTAAAAAGCAAACAGACAAAAAAGAACCTGTCAGTTAGATGTCACTATCCTCTCAGCATCCTAGTTAATGGAGTTTATATTGTATTTATTACTTTTGAAAGTTCTCAAACTGCAAATTTTAAGTGGCATGGAGGGCCTTTCTCTGACTGACACATCTTTATCACTGTCTAATTTAATGATTTTCAGTCTTTCTGCCGCATGAATATATAGTCTTGAGGCCAGTGTCTAAAAGTCTAAAAGAGCTCCTTTTGGAAGGTCTCAATTGTGCCACTGGGGAGTGTCAATTAGTTCAGCCATTATGGAAGACAGTGTGGCGATTCCTCAAGGATCTAGAAATAGAAATTCCATTTGACCCAGCAATCCCATTACTGGGTATATACCCAGAGGATTATAAATCATTCTATCATAAAGACACATGCACACGTATATTCATTGCAGTGCTGTTTACGATAGCAAAGACCTGGAACCAACCCAAATGTCCACTGATGATAGACTGGACAAGGAAAACGTGGCACATAGACACCATGGAATACTATGCAGGCATAAAAAACGATGAGTTTGTGTCCTTTGTAGAGACATGGATGTAGACATGGATGAATCTAGAAACCATCATTCTCAGTAAACTGACACAAGAACAGAAAACCAAACACCGGATGTTTTCACTCATAGGCGAGTGACGAACAATGACAACCCTTGAGCACAGGGAAGGGAACAACACTTACAGGGCTAGGTGGCGGGGTGGAGGGAAGGGGCATGAGGGACAGCGGGGAGGGGGGAGGATGGGGAGGGGTAACTCGGGGAGAAATGCCTGATGTAGGTGACGCAGCAGGGCCTGGGGGATGGAGACAGCAAACCACCATGGCATGTATGTACATGCCATGCCATGCACATGTATGTACATGCCATGCCATGCACATGTATGTATGTACATGCCATGCCATGCACATGTATGTACATGCCATGCCATGCACATGTATGTACATGCCATGCCATGCACATGTATGTATGTACATGCCATGCCATGCACATGTATGTATGTACATGCCATGCCATGCACATGTATGTATGTACATGCCATGCACATGTATGTATGTACATGCCGTGCCATGCACATGTACCCCAGAGCCCAAATACAAAAGAAAAAAAAAAAGAAAAATAAAGAAAAGAAAAAAAAAACATAACCAAAGTGTACAGTGGGTTAACTGGTATGCTCTGATATTAGGTCTGTGTTCCCAATACTGGTTTCATAAAACAGCTACATTACATCTGCAAAAGCTATGGAAAAACTATGTATTACTTTCTTGGGGGAAATTTATGCTGTATACTTTAAAGATACATGAGAACATTCTCTCTCTTCCCTTGTTTCTATCTTGTGGCTCATATTCTTTTCAGAACACTATGGAGAGAACATTATGTAAACTCAGGGAGGAGAAAAGCAACTCACCGAACCTTGTTTTTCTTTTCCTCTGAGTTTACCAGCCCGAGAAAAGTTATCCCAACCTCTTTGCAACTTCTCCAACCCAACCCGAACCAGGTCGGATCGTGAGCCCACCCTTTGGCATTAGGATGCCAGCACTCAGTAATCTGCTTTGTTGGGCTGCTTTTCTGGACAACCAGATCTGCAGTGCAATTCCCTCCCTACACTCACAGGTGCACTCTGCAGCAAAGCTAACAATAAGGTCATCCTGATTTTTGTTTTCTTTTCTTTTTTTAAAAATATCCCTTTGATACTACATATGGTTTTCTTTACTTTTTTTTTTTTGAGACAAAGTTTCGCTCTTGCTACGCCCAGGCTGGAGTGCAATGGCACTATCTCGGCTCACCGAAACCTCTGCTTCCTTCAAGTGATTCTTCTGCCTCAGCCTCCTGAGTAGCTGCGATTACAGGCATGCATCACCATGCCTCGCTAATTTTGTATTTTTCGTGAAGACGGGGATTCCCCATGTTGGTCAGGCTGCTCTAGAACTCCAGACCTCGCATGATCCACCCACCTTGGACTCCCAAAGGACTGAGATTACAGGCATGAGTCATCGTGCTTGGCCGATACTACCTATGGGTTTCTTTGGTCTCAAGTAATCATCATTTGAATTCTACGGCCTACAAATTAGTCAACACTGCTTAAAGGAATGAAAAGTATTTGAAATTAACATGGGTGTGAATCTACCCTAAAATGAGGGCCACCTCTCCAAACAAATTCCAGAAAACCCACCTCTTCAAAAAAGTGCCACCAAAAATAAATACAAATCCTTAGATGGATAGAAATTCCTCAAGATAACAGTCACTTATACGTTTAGTAGTTTCATAATGGTGAATTTGTATAGTATGTGCAAAGCCTATTTTGACCACATTTCTCTCTAACCTTTTCACCCTTCTTGGTCAACTGAAATGAAGTCAGTATTACTCATTCTGTTTCATTCTTTAGACAAATTTCCGAAGCTTGCAAACCTTCCCCAATTCCAACCATAATGTGACTATTTTAGCAATGTTTTCAGGTTGACCCATCAATATATTTTAGAAAATTAAAACTTAGGGCTGCTACTCTCCATACAGCTTTACCAATAACTTAAAAGAAGGACCAGGTACTTGGACATTTAAGCTATCTCCTCATAAGTCTCAGCTTAACTCACTATTTAGTCATGTAATGTGTTCTGTGGTGAATTACTCCCTCATCCCAATATTTATAAATTCACTCATTTAGCTAAGTGCTTATGCCTGGCTTTAAATAATTTAGCACACTTGAACCCTCTTATAACCCTGCCCCTCCCTGCATTTTACTTGAATATTTCTAGGGTAAGATTGAGCGCCACCATGACTCCACATAGAAATTGCTCCTAGAAGATGCCAGTGTTAGAAGGAATTGAATTTTATTTATTGGATACATACATATACACATATATGTATTATATATATTTTATACATATATGTGTTTCCTATGTATGTATTTGTTTAATTTTCTATACAGATCAGGGGAAGCAGTTTTTTGTTTTGTTTTTCCTTTAGGAAATCATGTTCCCTAGGGGGAATGGGAAAGAGGAAAGGACCATAAGGTGGAGCTTACTCCCTTTTCTACCGACAAAGAACCCAAACTTCAATACTATTTGCCAACACAAAAAAGACAATAACAAAAACACAACTTAAGAATGTTCAGGACAAAGCCTTCAGTGCCCTGAAGCAGGTTTTAGAATGGCTGTCCTGTCAAATTGCCTCTACAGGTTTACTGACCCGCACTTTCTCTTCAGACACTCCAATGGCATGGGCAAGTTCCCTTCTGTGGAGAGAAAATCACACATGGTTAGTCTTCAAAGTTGTGGATGAAATGAAATACATAGTATGTATACGTCATGCTTGTTTTACAATTTATAATCTCCCCTCACACCTCCTGCAAGTATATACTTTTCTCTAATTCCCAGCTCCATGGATGTTTTAGAAATAGTTTACCTTTATCACAAAATTTAAGGTGACATTAACAATTCAGTAATCCAGAGGAATACTTCTTTTCTTTTTTGGGGACAGAGTTTTGCTCTTGTTGCCCAGGCTGGAGTGCAATGGTGCTATCTCTGCTCACTGCAACCTCCGTCTACCAGGTTCAAGCGATTTTCCTGCCTCAGCCTACTGAGTAGCTGGGCTTACAGGCACCAGCCACCATGCCTGGCTAATTTTGTATTTTTAGTAGAGACGGGGTTTCTCCCAGTTGGTCAGGCTGGTCTTGAACTCCCGACTTCGGGTGATCCACCTGCCTCAGCTTCCCAAAGTGCTGGAATTACAGGCGTGAGCCACTGCACCCGGCCAGAGAAAGACTTTTTTAAAAAAAATATTGAGATAAGGTCTTGCTCTGTCTCCTAGGCTGGAGTGCAGTGGCATGATTTCAGCTCACTGCAACCTCTGCCTCCAGGGTTCAAGCAGTTCTTGTGCCTTACCCTCCCAAGTAGCTGGGATTATAGGCACATGCCACCACACCCAGTTGATTTTTGCATTTGCAGTAGAGATGGGGTTTTGCCACGTTGGCCAGGCTGGTCTTGAACTCCTGACCTCAGGTGATATGCCCGCCTCAGCCTCCCAAAGTGTTGGGATTACAGGCATGAACCACCACACCTGGCCAAGGTAAATAATTTCAATGCATTTCTTTTTTGAGACTGTTGTCCAGGCTTGAGTGCAGTGGCAGGATCACCACTCACTGCAGCCTCCATGTTCTGGGCTCGAGCGATCCTTCCTCCTCATCCTTCCAAGTAGCTGGGAGTACAGGCACACACCACCACACCTGCTCGGCTAATTTTTTAAGTTTTATGTAGAGACAGGATTTCTCCATGTTGCCCAGGCTGTTCTCAAACTCCTGGGCTCAAGCAATCTTCCTACCTTGGCCTCCCAAAAGGGCTGGGATTACTGACCTGAGTCACCGCGCCTGGCCCTAATGCACTATTTTAATAATAATTAATGCAAAAATCTGTGATGAGGACCAAGCGTGGTGGCTCAGGCTCAGGCCTGTAATCGCAGCACTTTGGGAGGCAGCCTAGATGGGCAGATCGATTGAGCCCAGTGAGACCAGTCTGGGCAATGTGGTGAAACCCCATCTCTACACAAAAAATACAAAAATTAGCCAGGTGTGGTGGCCTGCATCTGCAGTCCCAGCTACTTGGGAGGCTGAGGCAGGAGGATGACTTGAACCCAGGAAGCAAAGGTTGCAGAGAGCTAAAATCGTACCACTGAACTCCAACCTGGGCCACAGAGAGAGGCTCTGTCTCAAAAACAGAACAATCAAAAAACAAAAAACCAACCAACCAACCAAACGGAAAAAAAAACCCTATGACGAACAGATTATCAAAATTTTAAATAAAGGAAGAATCTAGCACTGTAGCTGCATGACAGTATCTCATTCTCCTTACTCCAATTTCAACAAAATTTTATTTATAAAAAGAGACTAGAGCTGGGTGTGGTGGCTCACTCCCATAATCCTAGCAACTCAGGAGGCTGAGTGAGGTGGGAGGGTTGCTTGAGGCCAGGAATACAGCTTTGGTGACAGATTCCCCCCATCACTCAAAAACAACGACAAAAACAGGCCATTATCACAGGTAATAAAAGAAAAAATAGATAAATTGGACTATATCAAAATTAAAAACTTCTGCATATCAAAAGATACAATCAGCAGAGTAAAAAGACAACTCATAGAATAGAAGGAAATATTTGCAAAAAACATCTGATAAGGGGTTAGTATCCAGAATATATAAAGAGCTCCTACAACCCAATAACCAAAAAAAAAAAAAAAAAAAAAAAAAAAAGAAAAAGAAAAAAGAAAAAAAACCACTCATTTCAAAATGGGTAAAGGAGTTAAAGAGACATTTCTCCAAAAAAGATACACAAATGGCTACTAAGCACGTGAAAGGATACACAACATCACTAAGCATTAGGGAAATGCAAATCAAAATTACAATGAAGCATCACCTCACAACCATTAGGATGGCTATGTAAAAAACCCCAGAAAATAACAAGTGGTGGTGAGGATGTGGAGAAACTGGAACCCCCATATACTGTTGATGAGAATGTAAAATGATGCAGCCTCTATGGAAAAGAGTATGTGGTTCTTCAAAATATTAAACAAAGAATTATCATATGATACAGCGATTCCATATCTGGGTATATATATACCCAAAAGAACTGAAAACATAGACTCAAAGAGATATTTGTATACTCATGTTGACAGCAGCATTATTTACAACAGCCAAAAGACAAAAACAACCCAAATACCCTTTCACAGATGAATGATAATGTGTGTGTGTGTGTCTATTAACTGGAATACTATTTAGCCTTAAAAAGGAAGGAAATTCTAATACATGCTGTGATATGGATGAACCTTGAAGACCTTAGGCTAAGTGAGTTAAGTCAGTGACAAAAATACAAATACTGTATGATTCTACTTATATGAGGTACCTAGCATAGAGGTATCTCATATAATGCATCCCCCGACCCGCACCTCCTGAGGAGGGCAGAGGGTGGAGCTAGTCCCTGTTCTCATGCTTGGTATTGGTTAGAGTTGCAATGGGTGAGACAAGCAAGGGAGGGGGTGGAGAGGAGTGGGGAGAATGGGAAGGTGGGGGTGGGGAGTGCGGGTGGGGATGGGAAGTGGGGGGCTGCAGGTTGGAGTCAGGGGTTGTGACTGTGGGTGTGGGGTGCAGATGGGGAATGTGGGTGTGGGTGGGATGTGCACGGTGAGAGTGGGGGTTGTGAGTGAGGGTGGGAATGTGATTGGGGGTGGGGATGTGGGTCGGGGGTGCATGGTGAGGGTGAAGGTTGCAGGTCGGGGTTGGAGGTGTGGGTGGGAGGTGAGGAGGTATGGGTCGGGGGGTGCGTGATGAGGGTAGGGATTGCGGGTGGTGGCACACAGTGAGGGGGTGGGGATATAGGTGGGGGCTGGGGTGTGCCCAGTGAGGGCAGGAGTTGCGGGCGGAGGCGCATGGTGGGGGTGGGCGGTGGGGTGTGCACGGTGAGGGTGGGGGTTGTGAGTGGGGGTGGGGATGTGGGTGGGGGTGTGCACGGTGAGGGTGGGGGTTGGAGGTGTGGGTGGGAAGTGGGGAGGTGCGGGTTGGGGGGTGCATGATGAGGGTAGGAACCTCATAAAGTAAAATAGTAAAATGGCGGTTGCCAGGGGCTGGGGAAAGGAGGAAAAGGGGAGCTGCTTAATTGGTATAGAGATTTAGCTTGGCAAGATGAGAAGAATTCTAAAGAGCTATTGCACAACAATGTGAACATACTTAACTGGCTTAGATGGCAAATTTCATATTTCTGTGTATTTTATCACAACTTTAAAAAAGGGAGGCAAGAACTAATTTCCACGTTTCTTTCACATAAACATTGCAATAAAATATTACCTTGATGCCCACGAGGTAAATATTCCCACCCCCACCACAGCACAAAAGCAAGCAAGGACCCCCAGTGGCTTTTTCCTAATGATTAGGTGGGGCAAGTGAGAGAAAAAGAGGCCTTGAAACAAACATGGAGATCTCGCAGCTCGTGGAGCAAGCCACTTACCTTAAGAACACATCAGGGTATTGAGTGAATTCAAAAATGTTTTCCAGCTCCTGTACCTGCAGCGGCGTGAACTTGAACTTCCTGCGCTGGGTTGGTGGCTCCCAGTTCTCGGGTTGCAGATCCTCCATGGCTGCCTGGGCCGGCTCCTCCCAGGGCCACTGTTGCTCCTCAGGCTCTTGGTTTCCACCGCCGCCCTCGTGAATCACGCTGCCATCACGGCTCACGCCGCCCTCGGGGTTCACGCCTCCCTCGGGGTTCACGGCGCCCTCGGGGTTCACGCCGCCCTCGGGGTTCACGGCGCCCTCGGGGTTCATGTCGCCCTCCGGGTTCATGTCGCCCTCGGGGTACATAATACCCATGAGGCCTGGTGCTCCTTGGCCACCATGGTCTTCGGCCCTTGATGCTGCCCCTAGCTCAGGTATGGGATTTTCTTCTACCGGGCATACAGTCAGGAAGTAGAACTTGCCATAGCCTCGCGAACGTGCCATGGCTGGAGTGCTGTGCACCTAGACAAACTATGGCGTCTGGCGCTAGAACTGGAGCTAGAGGGTGGAGCTGGTCCCCGTTCTCGGGCTTTGTATTGGTTACAGTTGCAATAGATGAGACTTGCTTATGCGCACAAGGAAGGGATGGGGTGGAAAGGAGTAGGGGGATGGGAAGGTGGGGAGTGCAGGTGGGAGTGGGGAGTGGAGTTTGCAGATTGGAATCGGGGGGTGTGACTGTGGGTGTGGGGTGCAGGTGGGGGGTGGAGGTGTGGGTGGGGCTGTGCACGATGAGGGTGAGGGTTGTGAGTGGGGATGGGAGTTTGGTTGGGGGTGGGGATGTGGGTGGGAGGTGAGAAGGTATGGGTCAGGGTGTGTGTGATGAGGGTAAGGGTTGCGGGTGGGGAAGTGCACAGTGAGGGTCAGGGTTGCTGGTGAGGGTGGGGGTTGCCGGTGGGGGTGTGTGGTAGTGGTGGGGGTTGTGGGTGGGGATGGGGTTGGGGGTGTGCACGGTGAGGGTGGGGTTGCAAGTGGGGGTTGGAGGTGTGAGTGAGAGGTGAGGAGGGTGTGTGATGAGAGTAGGGATTTTGGGTGGGGGTGCACAGTGAGGGTGGGGGTTGCTGGTGAGGGTGGGGGTTGCTGGTGGGGAGTGGAGGGTGCGGGTGGGGGTGCGTGGTGGGTGCGGGGGTAGTGGGTGGGATGGGGTGAGGGCTGGGGTGTGCACAGTGAGGGTGAGGGTTGTGAGTGGGGTGGGGGATGTGGTTGAGGGTGGGGATGTGGGTGGGGGGTGCACAGTGAGGGTGGGGGTTGCAGGTCGGGGTTGGAGGTGTGGGTGGGAAGTGAGGAGGTGTGGGTTGGGGGGTGCATGATGAGGGTAAGGGTGGTGGGTGGGGATGGAGTAGGGGGTGCACAGTGAGGGTGGGGGGTGAGGGTGGGGGTGGGGGTGCATGGTGGGGGTGGGTGTAGTGGGTGTGGATGGGGGTGTGGATGGAGGGTGTGAGTGTGGCTGGGTGGGGGTGGGGGTTGGGGGTGGGGTAGGGTTAGCCAAAACTTTGGGGCAGTGTGGAGAAGAAAAGGGCCAATAGGAGGCATATATGTATGCAACATAGGGGCCCCAGCTTGCGGCTTAGCTGACTACTCCCTACTTGGACCTACTTTTTACCCCGAGGAAAGCTGATTTGGGGGCTTGAGGGGAGGTGAGATCTCACAGTGACCACAGGACCCCTTGAGTAAAAGTTTGGAGAATGTCTCATGGCCTGACCCTCTGTATTTGGCAGGCTGCACATGGCACGGGCTATAGTTAAGCTGATATGATTGACTAGGGGACTGCTTGTTCAAAGTTCCAGCAAGGGCACTGAAAGCAGAGCCGCCATGCTCCCTTCAGTGCTGGGATTGGGGTCTTGGAGCTGGGCATGCAGACCATTCTGGGTGGTAAGATGTGCTCTATAAGAAATCAGTCGCACTCTTTGAGAAAGTCAACACAGAATAAACACGAGGCTGAATCTGTTAGTCTGAGACTGACGTGGTGGTCATTGGTAAAATTTTGGAGTACTTGGACTTTTCTCAAGCGGCTTTGCACTTCTTGTCCCGACTGGGGATTACTGTACAGATTGCAGGCCAGAGTCTGCAGAGGCGCACGGTTTCATCGATAGCAGGGACTGAAGCTTCTGCCCAAGAGAAGCCAAGACGGCACTGTTATCGCACCCTGGGAATTGAGGAAAGGAAATACATGATCAGTGCCTGGATGGTGACAGGTGCTCCAGTGAACTCCAGGAAACTACGTTTTCCTGGGACAGCCGATTGTCTTTGTGCGGTTTTCAGTTTGCCGCCCCTAACTTCTTCCAGCCCATAAACCCAGGCCTCCAATGAGGTTCAGATCTCTCTCTGCCTTTACGCCTTTCCAGATGCGATTCCTCCAGTGATCTCAGTGATTTACCAGGAGAAAACGAGGATGGCACAATACTGTCCGACTGTAAACAAGAAGCAACCGCACCGTGCAGCAGCACCAACAGAATGCCGTGGTAGTGTGGCAGACCTTGGCCCCAGGGACAAGGAGAAACTCGACAGTGGCAGTGGCCACGAACTCAGAAAGCCTGAGGACAGTCGAGCAGCTCCTCTGGCTCATCACTTTCACATCGGTGCAACTACAGGAGCTGAAGAACATTTTCCAACTCGTTCCATACCCGGACGTGTTAGGTAGGTGGCATGCTCAGGCGGCACCCACTTTTCACAGAGCAGGGGCTGGGCTCAGGCCTCGTTCTCTTTTCCTAGGCCCCTTTCAGAGCTTTCTGATCCAAAGGTTACCAAGGGGTTTCAAGGTTGCTGGGGCCTGTTTACCCTTGGGCTTCAGGGTAGAGGCAGTGCCTCCTGGACACCAGCGTAAATATTTTCCAGCAGCATTTAAATGAATCAAGTGGGGGAAACTTTGGCCTGATAACTAGGTTTGTATAAGTAGAACTTGACTGGAACCAGAACCATGATCAGGGTGAGGAGAGTAAGGCATGGTCGTGCGAGTGGATGGGCAAATTCTGCCTTTATTGTAATATTTGATAATTTGCTCATAATATTTTCGATTTTTCAGAATAGTGCAAAAAGTGTTATTTTTCTGGAATCCTGAGGGTTTTTCTGTGCCCCTCATGTTTAGTATGGCAGAAAATCATTCCTAAAGAAAGCCTCGATCTGGATATTACAAAATAGTGTACTTGGGGAGAGGTGTTGGGGGAAAAGTATTTAAAAGCAAGCTTGAAATGAACATCATGTATTTTATTTCATCCACAACTCTAAATACTGAACATCTGTGGTTTTCCCCTCAGAAAGGAACTTGTAAGATGCATGAGCATGACTGGAACCAGTGTGCCTATATTTGGCAGGGCAGCCATTCTAAAATCTGTTTCAAGACTTAGATACCTTTGCCCTAGATATTCTGAAGTTGGTGTGTTTTTGTTGCCTTTTCCAGGTTTGGGAAATAAGTTCAAACTTTGAGTTTTTGTGAAGAGAAAATGGGATAAGAAAAACCCGGCTTATGGAAATTTCCCATTATTAGAGCATACATGATTTCAAAAAAGACCAACGAAAATAGAACTGAACTACTTTTTCTAGTTCCTATATATTAATACAATTAAATAGATGTGAAGAATATAAGTATGAAATATATAAGTATGTTATATTGTATATAAATATAAATAAATATGCACTATATGTATTTGTATACATGTGTATATATACACACACACATATACATGCGTATATATTAGAGAGGCCATCTATGTGAAGACTATCTGTAAGATGGAAATAAAAGTATTATCTATGCCATAGAATTGAGGAGAGGAATAAATGACAACATATGTAAGTACGTAGCGCAATACCTAGTCACAGAGTAAGACCTCAGAAATATTTGTTGCTATTACTCCGTAAGGTATCCTCTCACTACATATAACCCATGGCATATGTGACATAACAGAAGAAGCCTGATTAGGAGTCACACATTTGGTTCTTGGAGATACACATTGAAATATTTACTGAGGAAATGATGTGATGTCTAGATGTGCATCACAAAAATCTGGGGGAGATGCAATTGTGTTTGAGAATTGGTTAGGGTATTCATGAAACAAGGTTATCTATGAATAATTGTTGACACTGGGTAATGGGTACAAATAGGGTTTATCTTTACCATTCTCTCTGCTTTTGTATTTGTCTGACAGTTTGCATAACAGAAAAATTGTAATGATCAGAGTTGTAAATTCAAATGTTGACAAGGCCAGACAGGTAACATAAAAGAGAGAAGCAAGCAGGGTAGGGATTGCGGCAAACTGGGAAAGAATATGTCTTTTCCAAAGGGGCAGCCAGTATTCAGCTCCAGCTCAGTGTTGCTGGCTGGCAATTTTGGGCCAAGACTGCCGGATTATTCAGTTTTTCAAGACTGGCTCCAAATCAAAATGTTTATATGAAATGTTCTTCAGTTCTTTAAATGTTGGTAACTAACTGAAATATGTTTTATTGAAAAGTATGCTGGCCATCTAAATCAGGTCTGCAAAACAGATGCAAGCTGGAGCTGCCAGTTTGTAAACTCTGTGTAAGAAGCCAATTTTAAGCAATTTTCATTCTCTGGAGCAGTAGAATATAATTGACAGGACTGCTAAAGCCAACAATCCAAGAATGCCTTTGTGGTTGTCCTGCTGTTCCTTATTATAAGTCTCGAGCCCATATATGCTTTGCTCCCTGCCTTCTATCTTTGCTTGAAATATCTCTAACTTGATCTTTCATTCTCTTTACTTGGTTCTGATTTTAAGGTTCAGAGCACTGATGACCAGGACATCACAAGTGTCCAAGAGAGAAGACCTCACAGTAATGAATTAGGCACCAGCTCACCTGATCTTTCTCTCTGGTACATTTTGTAGCTCTTCTTAACAATATGCACGTCCTTTGGACAGTTTTCAGAAACTGAAGGGCCAAGGTACCAGGGTGGGAAGGGCAGGGCACTTTGAGAAGACAAAGGGAATTTTATAAAACTGTTATCTATTTGTGATCAAGAAATGTTTTCCTGAAGTTCAGCAGTTCTTTCAATCTCCCTTTTTTTCTTTTTCTTCTCTTAAATAGAAGTAAAATTTAAAAGTTGATACTTTTTATTTTTTAAAAGCAAGTATGGCATCATTTCAGTCTTACTAATTCTCTCTGCATCCATTCACCTATCCTTCGTTGTTTTTGTATGTGTAGTGGTATCCGTGAGAAGGTTCATTATTGTCAATCCTGATCATTTCTTCCTCATGAGACGTCAGTAGATTTGTTCTTCTGGCTTTGGACTTTTATGAATTGATTGAATTTTTATGCCAATTATTTTAAACTAAAGTATTACATAGAAGAACAAATGGACAGAAAATTTTAAATGCAATCAAATCTTGTTGACTTGGAAGAATAGGAAGTAATCTTGCATTGTCAGATAAAGTGCAGGACACTCACTTATATTTGAATTTCAAATAAACAACAAATATTTTTGTATAAGTATGTCC